AGAGACAAGAGGGAAGGGGGGGCAGGGAAAGGGAAGGGAAGGGGAAAGTCAAGGAACATATAGCAAGGACTCAGGGAAAGAGGTGGGGAAAAGGCATATTTTGAAAAATTGTTTGGTAGAGACTGTTTTCCTAATATAATATGACTTTAAGATCTCCCAAAATGATGTTGGCAGCTTCCTTATAGATCTTGCTTATCTTGAAGGAAGTAGATTTTTCCAGGTAATAAGATTTAACAAATTTCTATTATCATTATCAGAATTATAATTTCTTTAGCTTGCAACCTAAGAAGAACACAACTTAAGCAATTTAAGGTAGTAAGATCTTATTAAAATGGTTCCTCCCCCACATACAGAGCCATAATGCACTGAGGTGGGTTGTCCTGCCCTGGTGAATACATAAGACTCCACCCCTTACAACATAACAGGTGCACCAAGACAAAGAAATCTGGCCCAAATGAAAGAACAGACCAAAACTCCAAAAAAAGAACTAAGTGACAAAGACATAGCCAACCTATCAAATGCAGAGTTCAAAATACTGGTCATCAGGATGCTCACAGAAATGATTGAGTCCAGACACAAAATAGAGGCAGAAGTGAAGGCTATGCAAAGTGAAATAAAGAAAAATATACAGGGAACCAGCAGTGAAGGGAAGGAAACCAGGACTCAAATCAACAATTTGGAACAGAAGGAAGAAATAAACATTCAACCAGAACAGAATGAAGAAACAAGAATTCAAAAAAATGAGGAGTGGCTTAGGAACCTCTGGAACAACTTTAAACGTTCCAACATCCAAACCATAGGGCTGCTAGAAGGAGAAGAGGAAGAGCAAGAAATTGAAAACTTATTTGAAAAAATAATGAAGGAAAACTTCCCCAATCTGGCAAAGGAAATAGACTTCCAGGAGGTCCAGGAAGCTCAGAGAGTCCCAGAGAAATTGGACCCAAGGAAGCACATACCAAGGCACATAATTAAATTACCCAAAATTAAAAATAAGGAGAGAATCTTTAAAGCAGTAAGAGAAAAGGAAAGAGTTACCTACAAAGGAGATCCCCTAAGACTATCAGCTGATTTCTCAAAAGAAATCTTACAGGTAGGAAGGGGCTAGAAAGAAGTATTCAAAGTCATGAAAGGCAAGGGCCTACACATCCAAGATTTCTCTATACAGCAAAACTATCATTTAGAATGGAAGGACAGATAAAGTGCTTCCCAGATAAGGTAAAATTAAAGGAGTTCATCATCACCAAGCCCTTATTATATGATATGTTGAAAGGACTTATTTAAGAAAAAAGACGACGACCAAAAACTATGAACAGTAAAATGACAACAAACTTACAACTATCAACAACTAAAAAATAAAAACAAACTAAGCAAACAACTAGAACAGGAACAGAATCACAGAAATGGAGATCACATGGAGGGTTATCAGCGGGGAAGGGGAGGGGGGAGAATGGGGGAGAAGGTACAGGGAATAAGAAGCATAATGGTAGGTACAAAATAGACAGGGGGAGGTTAAGAATAGTGTAGGAAATGGAGAAGCCAAAGAACTTATATGTACAACCCATGGACATAAACTAAGGAGGAGAATGCTGGTGGGAGGGGGTGCAGGGTGGAGGTGGTAAAGGGGAAAGAAAAACGGGACAATTGTAATAGCATAATCAATAAAATATACTTAAAAATGGTTCCCATATATACAAGGATTTCTTTACCTTCTTCCATACTTAATATCATAGCATCATCATTTTGTCTTCAACAGGATAGATTTCAAACTGAATTAAGGTTTGAATACTCAGCTATTAACATTCACTCAAGCATAGGAGTTGACACACCGAAGATTTCACTTCAGAAAGGGACTAGATATTCACTATGGTACAGTTACTATAGGTTGGCTGCTTATTAAAATGACAGTCTATTTTTTAAATACATATCACTTATTCATTTTTAGAAAAGGGGAAAGGGAAGGAGAAAGAGAGGGAGAGCAATATCGATTGGTTGCCTCTCGAATGCCCCTAACGAGAGACCTGGCCCACAACCCAGGCATGTGCCCTGGCTGGGAATCGAACCAAAGACCTTTTGATTCACAGGATGATGCCCAATCCACTGAGCTGCAGCAGTCAGGACAGATAGTGTATTTTAATTAAAAAAATTATCACTATAAATTGGCAGCTGTGTTACATATTTAAACTCATGTTAATCTACATTAATATTTTTATCCATGATCTGCATAAATAATCAGAATTCTATTTCAGTATTGGTTACTGGTTAAAGAAAACAAAGCCAACAGGGAATCATTTATTTAAAGATCACATTTCCCACATTCCTCCAAGGCTACTACATGATTCACTAAAGCAAAATCTGTATCTAACTTATAATGATGTCTTTTGAGATAAATGAAAATTGTTTGCATTAGCCTGATTTCATTATTAAAAGACAATTTTTTAAGGAGTAATTGAATAGGCTTGTAATAGAAAATTCCCTTCTCATTTGAATTTATTTCATTTTTACAATAAATTTAAGGGGTCTATGATTAAGTTGTCATTTCTGCAATTATAAAACTAAAATTCAAAGAGAAAAAGAAATAATAAATTAACATAATTAAAAATTTAAAATCTCATTATGCAACCTAATAATAGGATTAGTATCTCCTTATCTCACATAGCTTACAAAATCAATAACTAGTCAATGACTAAAAAAAAAAACATTAGTGTGAACTAATTGTTTTATAATTCCAAAGATTTTATGAAATACACTGGACATTTATAAATACTCATTGCATAAGCCTATCTCCAGTTTTTAAAATACTGCCTTCCAAATCTTTTTTTGTTTTTTAATTTTATTTTTAAATCATGTTTATTCTATTACAGCTGTCTCAAGTTTTCCCTCTTTGTCCCCTGTGCCCATCTGGCCCCACCCCCGGCTCCCACAGTCAGTTCCCAAATCTTACAGCAAGATTGTATATGGAAAGATTATTGACATTTTTGTAATCCATTTAAAAAATATTGACTATTTCCAGACGCTCTTCTATATTTACTTTAAGAATGCTTGTTTGCAAATAACACAACCCTACTTTGAATGATGTTTTGGAAGTTACTGAGGGTGTCATGAAATAAAAGAAAGGACTGATTGATCATGACTGAGCCACATGTAGGCAGAGAAAGTAGGCCTGAAAAGGGAAGAGAAAAACAGATATGCAGAGAGAGAAAAAATACTCCACAGCCTTACTTATTGTGGCACCAGCAAAATGAAGAGAAACAGACTTTCTGTGTTCTGACTACAAAAGTTTTGGGGGAGAGGGAAAACTCACAAGGCCAACCTCCATTAGATGCCTCCTGTGAGCAGGGGAAGACTATATGACTGAAATATTGTAAGGATTATATGGCTAGTAGGAGTAGTTTCCACAAGAAAGGAGTGGAAGTTGGTAAGAGGGGCTGGGCAGGCTATTTCACAGACATTCACCACTCTGGGAAAGTAGGTGGTAATTGTACAAAAGTAGCAAGTGGTCCCTCCCACTCGGTTGAGTAACAGGTTAACAAGCTAGAAAAATAAGGTTGGAAAGATAGATAGTAGGGGGCTAATGGTGAAGGCTAATTCTGGAATATTTTATATAGACTGCATCATGTGAAAAGACATTTTTGTAGATAAAAAGATCAACTATCAGTGATTTCATATGAAACACATTTCTGTGGTTCAAAAATGGATGAATAGTGGTAATTTTATAAGTTTCAAGGTAATATCTTACTCAGAAAACAATAGGTAAACACTACTACTGAAAAGAAAGAAAAACAGGATCAAACGGGGTAGGAAGTATTGAGTTGGCCAAAAAGTCTGTTTAGTATTTTCCATAAAATAAAAGACACATTTTTCATTTTCACCAATAACTTTGTTGATTTGGATTTCTAGAATATGTTGGCTATCTCCCATGTGATAGAATGTTGATTGTTCTCAATTAATATCTCGATTTGATCACTATCAACGTCAAGTGGTCTACATGAATGAACATGGAGCAGTGCCCAGTCAGAGATATCCAGCAAGAAACTTCACAGACCACTTTTGACACATTCAATCAGTCACAGCACCTCCTCCATACACTGCACAATTCCTTTTTTGCATTTCAGTTGCATTTTTACCTTTCTTGAAACAATAAAGCATAATAGGCTGAAAATGTCACTTATTTTCTTCCATCTTCAATATTAAAATGACACTCAAAAATTCACCAATTTTGATAAGTTTTTTTATATGCACCCTGATATGACAGCTGTCACAATACAATCTAACAAAATTGTTTCAAATGAAGTTAAAGACAACTAAGTGCTACTAGAGCCATCTTATGGAAAAAACAATGAACTTTTTGGCCATCCCAATAAAATAGAACAGCATGCAATCATAAAGGAAAGTAGAAACAACTCTTGCTTACTGATTGGCCATTCTGTACCAGGCATTATATTTTGTTAGGAAACCTCTTAGAAAGCTTTGCCTTTGTAAATTTGTTTGGTAACTACAGGGCTTCGGAAGGGAAGGCAATTAGGTTAGGACTGATCACAATACAAATAGTTCAGAACCTACTACTTCACATCTAGGTTTTAAATCTAAAGTTATTTCAAATTTAAAAAAATGTTTTACAAAATAGTCCCACCTGGATTTATATACCATGCCTTCCACTGCTGTGTAGTATGACCCTGTACAAATCATTACTTACATTTCCTCACTTGTAAAATAAAAATAGTCATGTTACCTGTTTCATAGGTTAACTCATGATAAATCTTGTAATAACAGTGTAGTCTTACAAAGCTATTAACAACTATAATTATCATCATTTTGGAAATAATTACTCTGAAGAAAACAAATATGACTGAACACTTGAACACTATTTTAATGCTACATTGTAAATGAAAAATAAATGGTCATGGGTTTTCATGTAACTCACTAATCAGCAACCTCCAATTTAAGGAAAGTGAGGTTTTATTTATCATTATGTATCATATGCATGACTGTGGTTCTCTTACCATCAATATCTTCATAAGATGAGTATGAACGACTTTTTGGAATCACGACAAAATCTGATACATATATGATAGGATGCTCTCCAAAAAAATCACCAGTCAGTGAGACTTCCAGGTTCTTTTCTATCTGTTTCCTGGCGGGACACTCTACGACAACTACGAGAAAGAAAAGCTTCCAGTTAATTGGACTATTAGGTTATATGATCATTCTTGAACTAGAACAAAATAAATTATTAAATTGTGTCATAAAAAAAGGTTTCTTTGGAATGCTTTTACCTGATATTGTTTTTGGCATTCATACACAAGCACACATTCTCACACTCACAGTATCTATATATATTGACATTGTATAATAAAATATGAATATTAATATGTAAAAATAGCATGACAAGAGATAAATCTAGAAGATATAAATTAGGTAACAGGAGATTGTACTAGGGTATAGAAATCTGATTTGAAAGCTGACCTAGTTATATCAATGATTCAGAGGGTAGTCATGAAAATGTGAATTTTTCAGCTATCTATGTGTTCTGTGTGGTAAATATCAAACTCCATTTATATAATTGTACTATAGAAAATACATTAAAATAATTTAAAATAAGTTCTGTAATATTTATTTTGTAACAAGTTTTAAAGTATTTCCTATTATATTATTTACATGCACCTTAAAATTCCTTTTAAAAATATTTCAATAAAATATTTTGATTTTCACTTGCGAATTGCTTTTAAATTTAGAAAATACATAATTAACAGTTAAAAATATAATTGTTAGAAATTATTTAAAATTAATATTAAAATGTGACTATTAATTTATTGTATTGCATAAAAACTTTATATATTTATGTATATATTAAATTCCAGTATTTTCTTACATCAAGTACAGAAGTTGTTGTCAGTGACCTTGTGAGAAACCAAAATATTGTTTTTGTGTAAAAATACTAATTATATAAAGGAGCATTAATGTATTCCTTTGGCATTAGCCCTATATTATATTATGGGGCCATGCATGCTAGGGTCTACATCGATGAGAATATTATTTCTCCAAAATATATTAAATGCTATTTTTTTTCACTTTAGGTCAACACAGGGCATAAATTGAATATAAGGGATAAAAAGGGAACCATAATATTAAAAAAGCTTTGAAATGTATTATTCTATACTTTTTTTGTGGCATCAATAATAATATATTCACCTACACTGCAAAATTGGTTAATGTCCTCAGATTTTTGTGTTTTCAGTAGACACATGACATTTATAGTATTAAAATGTTTAAAATAAATTTATTTTTAATTCTATATTTTACAAGCTGAAAGTCAACATTGTGGACTCAATAAATGTGAAATGTATAAGAAGGGTACAAAGTTAGATGTAAATTGAGAGGGTTGAAATGGTTGAAGAAAATGTACAAGCTTTTCTGGTTATCCTTCACTTCAGTCTTAAAGCATTAAGTTGGAAATTAGTGTGATCAAAGTTATAATTAGTATCATGTCACTGGTCTTGTCCTATAAATCCGAGGAAATTAGTGCCCTGACAATAGTAAGGATCACGCAATCACAGTGGATTCACATTCCACTGTGACTGGTAGTGGAGTCCTTTTCCAATTATCTGCCCCAGTGGACAAGAGCAGATAAGAATGCACAGAGAGAGTAAAATACAACAAAATGACAAAAGTACCCTGAGTTTGAGAGTAACCTGGGCAATGGATACATAAAAAAAGAAAAGAAACAATAAATATTGAAAGTCATACTGTTGAGTTGGGAAAGCAATACTTTAATGTGTTCTTAGGAATGAACAATGGACTATACAGAAAGTAAATAATATGTATTTATAAAATTGTACCTATTTGTTTCTCCAGGGCATTTGTAGATAAAAATAATTACTAGAATAGGTTTTAGACTTCTGTAAAAATGATTTAATAGGTAGTACACAATCTGTTTCAGAACACTGATGTTCCTAATAGGTTGGGCTAATGCAACAAAAGCTATTTACAGAACTCACATTTAATTTAAAAATAGAATAATAACCAAGAGATATGACTGGATGGAAAGTACTTTTATGTGCCTGGAGCACGTTTAATTTTCTTTGAAGGAAAATGTACAGAAATTATGTTTATGTTCTCATAAGCTTTGGTTTAGACTGAAAAACAGCTTTCAATCTTTAACGTGGTTAAAACAAAACTGTGTCTACACAGATACAAGCAACACAGGACTGCAACAGAGTAATGTCTAGGCTTTATTACATCAGGTTGATCAGATGACTGCACTACAAATTTTAAACTGTCCAGCTCCCTAGAAAGTATACAGACAGCTATCTTCTAGAAAGAAAGAAACATTTTGACTTGTTTGTGAAGCATTCTGAAGATAATTCGGTATATTTAAAATATTTATATATGTTGATAATTTTTTAACTCCAAAGTAAAAATACTTCAAATAAAACAAATGACATTTATTGTCAAAGGTACTGCTAGATATGTGGGTTTTTCATTCCAGTTAAAATGAAACTCCATAGGGAAATATGTAATCTTGGCCTGTCTTCTAGTGTATTATTAGGGGAAATGGTGTTATTTACAAGGAAAACTTATGTACTCTTCTTTCAAAGTGTGGTCACATCATTTATGTCAGTAAAGGACTTTTTCACTAGCAAAGATTGGTAATGGAGGGAGAAGGAAAATTCAAATTTCAAGGACTTTTTTTCAGCTCATCCGAGTTGCTCAAGGGGGACATCCAAAATAAGTATCCCTTTGCTGTGCACAGCAATTCAGTGTTTCTTAGTCACGGAGAACTAGGCCTAGAACCTGGCAAGAGGATGGGATACTGAATTTCATTTTATGGCTAACTAAGGATGGGTTTCTTAAGCTGATCATCAGAAGAAAGTGGGAAAAGCAAGGAATGTGAAAGAAGCAGGAAGAGGGAAGACAACAAACAGAAGCTTGACAAAAGTCTAGAGCATGTGGAGGTAAAAAAAAAAAAAGGAGTCATCGAGGAAAAGAAAGGCATTTTAAGAGTAGCGATTTTAGGCTGTGGTTTATTCCTTCAGCAAACAAATCTTTTTGAGAAGTTTAGTACATTCTGACTACTTTTTGGAGAACATCATAAAAGCTGGTGTCTGAGACAACCAAGAAAAGAGACATAGGATAGTTCTTGGATAGAAACTGAGTTACACAGAAGCTGGAATATGGTGATCAAATGTGATGGGAGAACCAAAGTACCTGGGACTCTCACAAATCTAATGTAGGGCTTGGAGCGCCTCACAGAAACGTGAGATAAAGGGGCCTGAAGTTAATGCTATTTTGATATTAGCCAACTGGTGGACAGGGAGTGCACCAGGAAACGGTGTGGTTTTGTGGAAAGATCACTGGGCTCCTTGTTAGAAAACCAGATTCAGTCCTAGAACTCCCTCCAAGAGGGCTGGCTACTTCACAACTTACTATCTCTGGACCTCAATTTTCTTACTTGTACCAAGTAAAGGTGGGACTAAACAGCCTCTAAGGTACCTCCAAATCCTGGTGTTTTCTGACACTAAAATATACCTACCAGGAACGAATTCTTCATGTTTTGCCTCCGGGAGTCCAATAATAGGGTATATCCATCGTATTGCTTGGATTTCTCCACTCTCTACTTCCATAAGTCTAATTAGAAATTAAAACAAGAGTGAACAAAAAACATAAATACCGTCAATATTCGTATAAAAGAGCATATGATCTACGAACCAATGGCTTTTGAACAAAACTCGTGAATTTAAACTTTGGCATAGAGAAGCTAAATATGAAATATAAGACATTTTTGGCAAATGTTGATTTTATAAACATTTTAAAGCAAACCCTGGGAAATGATCACAAACAAAAATGGAATGCAACCTTTATGAGATGTATGGTAAAACTGAAAAACTTTTCCCCATGCATTTAAAGCTTGGTACCGATGTGAATAAAATGTGAATCAGAACTAATACAGTTCCCATGGATTATAATCTAAATTGGGCAGGCAAAGCACAAAAAAAGGTGCCATTAAATTAAGTATAAGGCTTCAGAAAGTGTTGAGTAATTTACTTCTGTGGCATGCCAGTTAAAAAGAAAGAGGGCATTTTCTCAAAATACTTTAAGTTCATTATACACAATCAGGAGGACAACAATTCTAGGAAAATGGTGCTGATCACTGTTGAAACATGACTTATGTTTCATTGTGAAAAATGAAACGTAAGTCATGGCAGGCAGGACCAGCTCTGTGGGCACATGACCTGTGCTACCACACAAACACTATGCACTTAGAATTGCTCCATGCTTGTTCAATGCACCACAGTAACTGTCTTAAAATTACTAATGCACAAGGCCCCCTCATTTTCATTTTATGCTGTGGCCCACAATCCCGTCAGCAGTCTTGACTGCAGTAATGTTGAAAAGTACGGCTGAATGGGCCCAAAGGAGAGATTTCTTTTCCAATGCACAGAAGAAATATGTGCAGGTAGGGCAAAGGAAGAATTTCTTTTTAATGAAGATTTCGAGACCATTATTTAATGAAACTATAAAAGCAGAGTAAACATTTAAATTTTGCATCATTACTGGAGTTTGCTGAAATTCCAGCGAAGCAAAGAAGGCATGAGTAAGCTGCATTCGGGCACTAAAACAGCATCCCCTAGTCACAGGAGACGTTCGTGAGGATGGCGTAGCCATCTGGCACAGTGCCATCGTCTGGTGAATGCCAGCATCACAAGCCCTATACTTTGCCCAGACAAGCTGTTTTAGGTCGTTCTCTAGATACAGATTATTTATTGTTTTAGCAGCAGTAACTATCTTCCCAGTCAAAAAGGAGGCCCTTTGCATGTCCCTGACTCTTATTCATTGATATGATTCTTAAGATTGACTTGATCATCACTCTGAACTTCAAATCAGCAATGATATATACCATACCATGTATTTTCCTCCCCTGAACATACACATTTCAGCATGTTCGAGAATATAAAATCATGAACTTTGCATTGCATCAACATATAAAAGAAACCGATCGTATCAGTGCCAGACGCGAAATGAAATCAATATCCTTATTTGAACGTTACCTTTTCATCTCTGTGCTCAATTCATCAAAATTGTCAATAGGCCACTTTTTTCCATTTGCCCTCATCATTTGAACAACGAGCATTGTTTTCTTTAATTTTATAACTCTGGGAGTAAAATGCACTGGAATATAAATAATCTCTCTAGGAGGCACTGCTACTCCTGGAAAAAACACAAAAATAATTTATAATGTGGTACAAATTTTCAGAATATAGTTTGAACACCAGAAAGTAATCACCTAATTCCTTTACTGATAAGTGATTTTTCAGGACCACTTTGGAAAAAAATACATTATACAAAAGTGTAAGTGCACTTTACTGGCTTCATCATTAATTTTCCTCAAGGGGAAGGGAGGAGGAGGGAAGGAAACATTAATATGAGAGAGAAACATTGATCAGTTTCCTCTCACATGCAATCCAACTGGGGATTGAACCCACAACCTAGGAATATGCCCTATCTGGGGATAGAACCAGCAACCTCTCAGTTCGCAGGATGATGCCGAAACTACTGAGCCACACTGGTCAGGGTGGCATCAACTCTTTAAAAAGTACATTTTATCCAGAGGCAAGAAGGTTCTCCAGAAGACGCTGGTGGGTGGAGGGAAAGTTAAGACTGATAGCTTGGGTTCTCCTGAGTGACAGAAGAACCATAAAACCAGTAAGTATTTTCAAGTCACTACATTTTGCAAAAGACAAAAGTATAGCCATTTTGATTCTTTAATTCCTTGTGTATTTCCTTCCTAGACCATAACACGCCAAGTTTCTGCTTGGAGCCCCCAAAGTGCTACCATAGACTGTTCATTTATTTAACTGATGCCATGAGAGAAACCAAAGCTTAATTGTGAAAGAGAGGGGCATCCGCTCCAAGTTGTAAAAACCAGAAGACAAAAAAAAACTGACAGCATTTTGCTGTGTTCTAATGAACATTAGAATTTTTGAATCTTTACTTTGCACAAGAACCACCTGGGAAATTGATCGGATACGGAGTGTGCCGAGCCCCATGTTTAGAAATTCTGATTTCTTCGGTCTGGGCTGTGGCCCAGGAAGCTGCATACTTAAGTAGCATCTAATGGGATACAGAAGCAGATTGTCATGGGACCATGCTCTGAAAACAAACCCTGCCTGTTGGACAAATATTAAGAGGTTGGAAGAGTGGTGAGCTTCTGTCCATTTGTAACAATGAGGGCTTCCAAGTGAGGCGTGTCTTCCTTTATTTTGAGGAGTAACACTATTTTTTTTACAAGAAAATAAGGGGTATTGACCACATTTTGTTTTTTAAAAATTCTTTGTTATAAGATCGACAATACTCACAGCCATTTCATTTCAGAGGAGAACACTGTACTAAACTATTAAGAACATCAAGAAAGGAAATAGAAAATTGCCCCTGTGGAAAACATCCTAACTCAAAATTCTTACAAGTTTTCAAATTTTAAATTTTATTCCTTCAGGAAATGAAAATATTGTAAAGTTTATTATAGTGTATAATAATTATTAGTATTTATTGAGTACTGACTATATGCCAGGCTTCATGCTAAGTATTTTTCACGCATATCTCATTTCATTCTCAGAAAATCACTGTAAATTAAGTGCTATTATGTCTCTTGTTTGAGAGATAGGGGAGTTGAGACAATCTGGTTGACCTGCCCAAAGTCCCAATGAAAGACTGTATTGTTTGCTAAGCAATCTAAACAATGACTTATCTTCAGCTTGGTCATTATGAACTCTATATTTTTAGTGAATCACTGATTCAAATGAATTAAAACAGCAAGAGCTGGAATAGAATAAAAACAGCAAGAGCTGAGTCAACTAAACCATCATGCATTCCCAAGGAAATGAAGTTTAGAAATGGTCACTTACCATTACCAAATTCTATTATCACTAAAATTATATTATATTATGACTGAAAATAAACCTAAACATTTGGTGGTCTAAGAAGTCAAGACAAACACAAAAAAGGGAAATTCATTGTGAGCACCATGCTTTGTTATGTCGTCTGAGTTGAAAGTGTGGAAAGATAATGCTAAGACACATAAGCCTATTTACTTAACAATGTAGTAGCCTATCTGGGACTGTAAGTATTTACCAGACTAGAAAGAACTATTCACTACTGAATTCACTATAAGTTTCTTTATTGTTATTTGCTTGAATAGTAAGAATCATTGTGATGTTAACTTATAAGAAATCACTGAAATTTAACATTGAAAAAAAAACTTTGAGAATTTATCAAAGTCATTTTGTCTCACCACTGAATTTTATTTCCTGTGATTCTCCCATTGTCCTTTGCAACACTTTGAGTAGAGACAGGAAAGCTGCTCTTACTTTTATTTTGTTTTTTAAGAGAGGGGGAGGAAGGGGAGAAAGAGAGAAACATCAACATGACAGACAAACATCAACTGCTTGCCTCTTGCATGTGCCCTGACCGAGGACTGAACCTGCAACCCACGCATGTGCCTGGACTGGAAATTGAACTGGTGACCTTTGGTTTCGCAGGACAATGCCCAACCCACTGAGCCATACCGGTCAGGGCTGTCCTCACTTCTATCTTATAAAGAATCTACCCATTTTTTTAAATACCTATATGCTTTCATTTTTATAGTTAAATATCCAATCAATATGTAATTTATCCATATGTATGGAATGAAGAATGTATTGAATGTTGTGAATTTTCTATAGGAGGCTACTTATCCAAAAGCTACTTATTTAAAAGTTAGCTGATTTGAAATGCTGCCTTCATGGAGTTTCTGTATGTATTTTGGTCTTGGATTCCCTAGATTTCTTTGGTCTTTCTCTTCTTGTGCAAGTACCACATCGTTTTCATTATAGGTGCTTCAGTTTCTAATAGGACTAACTGCCTTGTCCATCAGCTCATTTTTTAAAAGAATTTTTCTAAATTTGGAATGAACGTAGCTTCAGAAAGTGGATGACATGGGAAATAGTACTTCTAGAGAGATCACCCTACATTTATACTTTAGGGATAATTGACATTTTTTTTCCATTCATGATTTATCCAAGAACAAGACTATGGCCTTTATTTTATTTCTCTCATTTGAGTATTATTTAAGGTGCCAGTGTTAGTTTTCAGTGTTACTAGAGGTTTTTTCCAGCATCTTCCTAAGTGTTTAGCAGGAAGCTGGGAAAAAATACATCAGTTGCTTTTATCTTCTAACTGGGCAATCTAGCTAGTATGATGATTACTATATTCATTAGATTAAATAATCTGAAAAAAGATATTCTAAACTCAAAACATTTTCTGAGCTTATTGCTTTCTGTTTTATTCCATTTCCATATAATAACTATAAAAACCAATTACAGATGTATTAGCTTTTCAATATTGTAGTTATCATTGCTGATGTTCAAAAACCCAATAAGCATCTGGAGAAAATACATACATTTTGTTTTACATATTTATATATTTTATGAGAGGTGTACGTTATAGAATCTTTGAAACCCTGACAATACTTCATGTTTAGTATCAATAAATATTAGAAAGGGTGACTTTCCTTGAACTATTATTATTAGTTTTGCTTTTGAAATCTCTTATGGCCTAGTTAGACTTAGCATTCAAATTTACTTCATTGTCTTTTAAAATTGCTATTTTGATTAAAGTTGTTAGAAATATCTATGCATTGATATCCTACGTGGTATACAAAAATTGTACAATGTTTTAATGGCTATGAGGTTTCCTGCCTTCTTAGGGAAAAATCTTCTCAAGAAAGTTAATATCATCCTCATTTTAGTAATGAAAGTATTTCATCCAGGGAGATTCGTTTTTAATCACTTTACTGCTATTATATTACTGCTCCACACAGCATAACTTTTAATATTTAGCATGGCATTAGAAATGGCCCATGTCAGGCAATCAAAGAGATACTAAGGAAGATACTACCACCCTAGGTCATGCCATTATTTTTGTTACAGTGGTTTATTTTAAATAAGAATACAAGATTTTTTTAAACATAAGTCATCAAAAACCATTTTTACACCTGAAATCTATTCACTTTCTACTTGAATATTTTAATAATTTATTTAAAAATAATCTTTAACTTATGACTAAAAATGGAACAGAATCACTAATGTGGTGGTTTGGAGAAGAGTCCATTCAGTGGTTCTTCAGAGATACTATGGAGCTGAATTTTGTCCCTCCCACCTAAGTCATATCTTGAAGCCCTAATTGCCAGTATGTCAGAATGTAGCTATATTTGGAGATAGGGCCTTTTAAAGAAGTGGTTAAGTTAAAATAAGACTGTTAGGGTGAGGCTGTAACTCAATTTGACTGGTGTCCTTGTAAGAAGAAGATATTTGGACACAGGCACATACTAGGAATGCACTCACACAAAGGAAATACCATATGAGGACATAGTGAGAAGGTAGCCATTTACAAGTCAAGAAGAGATACCCCAGAAGAAACTAAACCTCCCAATCTCTTTAGCTTAGACTTCTAGTCTCCAGGATTTTGAAAATATAAATTTGTTTAAACCACCCAGTCTCATATTTTGTTAGTGCAGCCCTAATAAACTAATGTAAGAACTTATCTTTCTTTCATGTTATCTTGGAGGCCAATGTATGGGATGCCACTGAATTTGCTGATATTAATTCTAATTCCAGGATGTCAAAACACAGGGCACATAGAGAAACTTGGCTGTAATTGCCATTTGCCTGCTATGATCATGAAAAAGCTAGGGATGAAGCATTCTTCCCTTCCTGCCTGTATCTCACTGAATGAATGTGCACATCTACTGAATATCATGAAGGGCATTCCAAGGACTGAATTTTCTTTGTGAAGAATTAGAGACTGTTGCTTCTTTACCCCGTCCATCTTTTACAGAGCTAGCTAATGTTTGTGTTTTAAATAACAAGTTATCCACAGTGTCCAAAGGGTCTAGTGTAGAAAAAGCAAGCACTAAGGGAAGTTCACATTTACTCAGATGGGTAATTGGGGAAAAGATGCGAACCCATGTTTCTTAGAAAACAAATGTTCAGCTTAGGACATAAAATGTTTTTAAAGTGTATGTTGGGGTTATCCAACACAAAGATGATTGCTAAGGTAAATTTTATACTATGAACTAAAGCACTTGTAAGTTAAAGGTTTATGTTTGCTTTTTTAAATCTAAGAATACATTAGCAAAAATAAAATATTTCAAGAAAATATTTATTTTAATGTAA